GGTGGGGGAGGCGCAGCTGGTTGGGGAGGCGCAGCTGGTGGGGGAGGCAAAGGTGTGGTTGTCGAAGTGACCCCCTTAGGTGGGGTTTTACCTGAAAACGAGGCCACGCTAAGGGAAGGCGGTGGTGGTGAGGGGGGGGAGAACGTCACTGGAAAGCCGACTGCCTTGTCCGGTGAGGGACCTGCATCCAAGTCCGCTGGAATCCGGACTACATGGACTGAGGCACCGGGCGTAAGTGGGTAGCCCGATGACCATGATGAGCCGAAGGTCGCCCGAATCCGGACTTCTTCAGAAAGGGCTCCACAGCTGGCGACTACTGAGCAGACGGGAGGGGGTACGCACGTGGGGGTAGGAGAGCGGGCCTCGGGGTTCGAAATGGTGTTAAGAGAATTCCATGAATGGCATGGGAGGAGCGGAGGGGAACAAGGGGAAGGAGGGGAAGAAAGGGAGGAAAAGAAGGAATGGGAAGAAGGGGAAGGAGGGGAAGAAGGGCAAGAAGGGGGAGATGGGGAAGAAGGGGAAGAAGGGGGAGAAGGGGAAGAAGGGGAGGAAGGAGATGGAATGGGTGAGAAAGGGGATATCCACAGTGGCGACGAACGGCTGGGCAATGAGGACGATGTCGACGACGATGCGACGACAATGGAGATGGAGATGGAGACGGAGGCGGTCGGTGACCTTTCAGCAGACCTTGACGAATATGAGGTTCAACCGCTGACGGCTGCAGTCAATCTCCAACACGGTTCTCTTGCGGTTTCCGCCGTTGTGAGCTCGGCTCAACGAAGTCAAGAACTGAGCGTCGTTGAAGTTATACATGGGATACTCGGCGACGAGCAGGTGGTCGGGCAACGGTCCGTGGCGCCTGTCCCGGACGACCGCCGCGCCGTCACAACTTTCGTCCCCTCGAACACCGTCGAATCGCCACCCAGCTCTACGATATTGGCCGTAAGCTTAACCGGGTGCCAGGAGGGGGATCTAGGGGGCCGGCAACATGTCACATCACCGAAAAAATCCCGGGTTGGCACTCAAGCTCTCGACGTGTTGGCCTTGCCCGCGCCAAAGTTGCTGACGAAGGAACGACGGGATAAAGTGGCTGGTAAGCAGTGATGAACGCCGCGTCGTTCACGCTCCCCGACAAAAAACATAGCCAAGTCTATTGGACAACATTTTTTTTTCCTTTTCATCGACGGAATCGTCGCTTAAGTCCGCCGTCATCCGCACTTCCTATGTCGATGCGTGAGATGGTTACTCTTAGTGTGTCCGCCGTGGGAAGAGGTCTGCCGGAATCTGAACTCCGGGGAATGTTAACGTTCCGCTTTTGTGGTTTGTTGTTGTTTTCCTTCGTTGTGGTCGGGGTCTCAAGCTCGATTGCGCTTGTCCTGTTTTTTCTCCGATGGCACATGGCCATGTGCATTTGGACTTCTGTGATTGGAGAGGTCATGTGTTTCTTTTGCATTGTTACTCTCGTCGGACTCGTGCTGGGTGATGTGTATTCATTTTCCGTTTTTTCTTTCTTCTGCTGTACAGGGGTAGGGTCATCTCGAGCACGGAGGTCCTCGAAATATCCTGAACACATATTGCAGAAAGTCCCCGGGTTGACCACAACACACAAGCATATGTTAAAGGCATCAGGGGTTGATGTCGAGATTGGGAAAAAAAAGCTTGCGAATGCCATTGAGGAGCGTCTTTCCCTTCTGACCCCAGAGAAAGGGACATATCCCCGGTCTGTAAGTAGGGGTCAGGCAATGTATGAAAAATACTTAGCAAAGCATCGTGCAATGAAGGGCAATGCTTAGACACTCCATTTCCCACTGCCCCGCGTGTCCTTCGCTCGCTGTTGTGCAGTGCGGGCCACAACTCGTGGAACAAGCGGGAAATCATTCGTTGCAGTTGCGGCGACTGCACCTACCAGCTTCCGGGTTTTGGATGACATTAGACGAGGCTTGGTGCCGCCTCTCACTGTTCTCTCTGTCCTCACCGGTGGCGAGTTGCGAATCGTGGCAAAAGACCTTCTCACCCTTGTGCATGTCGACGACAGAGTGAATGATGAGGTGGTCAATTTCTACTTGGCGTTGTTGGGGTCGACCATATCTATGATAAGTGATATGCCGTCAGGCCTTCAAGTCTACAGCTTCAATTCGTTCTTCTTCACTAAACTGCAACTTCAAGGATACGGCGGGGTGGATAGGTGGGCTGCAAACGTGGATCTGCTTCGATACGATATTATCTTTGTTCCTATCCACAAAGATAACGATCACTGGATCCTCCTTTCCATCAACTTGAGAGACAATGTCCTCGAAATTTTTGATTCTTTTCCTCGCATTGTAGCTGATTCGGGTTTTTACCTTAGTGTTTTCGAATTTATTGTACAGTATTTAGAACGTAAGACATTACACAGTCGATCGTGTACCGGTTGGAGGTCGGTAGCAACAAAGGTTGTGGTGGAAGGAGTTCCAAGGCAAGTGGACGGAGCTAGTTGCGGGGTGTTTATGTTGATGTTTGCGACATTGTTACAACGTGGTGATCAACCACCTTTCAGGTTCTCTTCTAAACATATTCCGAAAATTAGACGACAATTGACATCATGTGTCTTGGAACGCCGTCGTCTTTGACGGAGTCGATTCCTTTGGAAGTTTTGGTTTGTAAATATTTCATTACTTACTGATTATATTTCGTTAATCATGACATTGTTTGATTGTCGTTTTCACAACGACATTGCTTTCTTTTGTCATCGCGAGTATGAGTTGTCTTTCGAATGTTCACTGTCGCTCTCACGTCACGTATTGAGTTTGAAATCTGAGTCAGGTCTCACTCCTCTCTCGTTCTATTGAATGCGTCGCATTGCATTCCTTACTTCAAATTCTGCCTCAAATGATATTGGTGTGTGTTGTGCAACATGACAAATTGTTGTGGGTATGGATGACTGTGTGAATGAGACTCTGAGGTTCATTACGCGAAGAGTCAAAGACCAATGCCATCACGTCTCTTGTGTGCACATAGAATCAAATATTTATAACCTGCAAATTTGCATTCGTGCACAAACCTTTTGTTAATGGTCACTGAAAGTGCGGATTTGATCACATAATAAGCAACATTTGAAGTTCTTTTGTATTGTGACAGGTGTTGTACAAAAAAACTTCATCGATGTTTCCAATGACAAATTGGCCCCTAGACGAACATGTCAAATAAGGATACTGTATCAATCATGACACCTTGCTCATCGCAATTGTAAACAAGTATGGATCTCAGCACACTTCCACATATTGGGCGAGATGGTGGGCGTGTCTATCCTTGAACTAAGTATTCTGAAGAAGTCCGAACCTCAACAATATCCAAGCAACCGTCTCGAGAAATATGATTGCCATGCCTGTACAACTTACGGATGATTCTGAAGAAGTCCGGACTCAACAACATCCAAGCAACCGTCTCGAGTAAGATGATTGTCATGCCTACACAACTTACGGATGAACCGAACAGATGTATTATCCAACAAGGATTCAATTATGACACATTGTTCATCACATTCATAAACACATTTTTGAACAAGTATGGATCTCAACACACTTCCGCATATGGTCAAGCCTTGGATGGGCGTGCCTACGTCACACAGGGTGCGGTCGAAAATGAATTCGTTGGAAATAGGACATAATATAATGTCATATTTTAACAAATAACATGTTGTAACTTGTACGCTTCCTTCGGGTCATCCTTGTTAGAGAAACACTTTTTCATTTTCTTTCAACAACAACGAATGACTTTAATCATTTTAAAATGATTATTCTATTCTACAAAAAACATAAAAACCGCGTCACCCAAGTTGTAAAACTTGGCCAGTGAGTCCGAGCGCCTGATCAGTTCAATATCTGATCCGTGGTCCCTCGGACCACTCGATAATTTTTTTTTTTTTATAGGTCACGGAGGGGTCATACGGGTAAGCTTGCTTGTTCGACCCCTCTAGTGTTGTCTCTGTATTGCACTGCAGAAGAGTGTGGCGCAACCTTACAAAAAAAAAAAAAAAGGACTGTCAGATCCTTCTTGGTTTTATGAAACCACGGGGCCATGATTCCACTAACACACGAGTCATGGCCTATTATGACTTGTGCGGCACTGTAAGAAAAGGACAAAAAGTAATTTTAAAGACTGAAAAAAAAAAAAAAATGGCAACGTCACATTTCCCAAGGTGGAAGGACGCCGAATTTTGAAAGTGTTGTCATCACTGCTCCGCACCCAGCCAATGCCTAATCAAGACAGAGTGGTATGTGGCTGTTACAGTCTCGCGTACTACCACGAGGAAGTCCTTTCGTGTGCCTCATGCCAGTGGGACTCCCTTCTCTTATGGTTGTCATGCTGAAGCGTGCAATTCGTATATTTTGAGAGAAAAATCGACTACTTGATGGGCAATTGACCGAGAAAAAGAAGGCGGTCAAAACCATGCCCTTCGAGTACTTGATTTTTTTAAATCTTTTGAAGAGCTGCCAATCAAAATGAGTCTTTCTATTTTCTTTTCCCACCTCCCATTATTGGGAACTGAAAGAAAAAAGCAAAAAAACAAAAAAAAACACCACTTCAGAATATAAATTCGTTGCAATTTTCGTTGCCATCGGATTCTCCTTCATCAATGGTCAGACGATGTCCCGCAGATGTCCCACAAGTGTTTGTGGGATACACTATCTTACTCGTGCGCTAGTGGAACCGTGCTCCGAGTGGCGCCTTATATGCCTTCCGTATGTGAGAGGTGGGTCTCCTCAAGACTTGGGGCCTCGCTCCACTACTCCCACCATGCACAAAAAACAAAAATCATGGCGGTGTATCGTTCCATGTTCTAGCCAAAGATTCACTATCGTTTTGCACATCTCGAGAGTAGTGGAGTGAGACCCTCGTTTTCTTTTTCTTTCCAAAGGAAAATTTAATGGTCCTCCCTCCACTACTCATGAAATGTGCAAAACGAGAATGAATCTTTCGCTAGAACATTGAAATACACAACGACATATTTATTGTTTGTGTTTGCTTGTGGTGAGTATTGGAGCGAGGGCCTACATTACAACCCAGGAACCGGGCCCAATGTCCCTTACAATGTTTTACACCAAGGTTCTTCCTATACTCAGGCATCATCGGCATACGACCAGTTGGCCGCCAAAACATACCTGACCCAAAGGAAAAACGGATAAAAAAAGACCAAAAAAAGGCGGAGCGCGAACAAGGGGGGTATCTGAGTCACCAACCTAGCCCGGTTGGTAAGACACACAAGTGGCATTCTCGATGTCATGCGTTAGATTTTCATTCATGTACGCACTTCCGCAGGACCATCTACCTACCTGGTGTTGATTTTTCTGGCAGCCCGTTGGCCCCCACGATTGGCAGTGATTCGGCATGAACACCGCGAGCGCCGAGCGCCAAGCCCCACTAGCATGAGTTTGGTTTCGATTCCTGGTGATACTATAGGGGCCAAGTCCCACTAGCACGAGGTTGGTTTTGGTTCCTATACCGAGGCCCGAGTCCTACTAGGAGGGTTAAGTTTTCTAAAAGCCCGAATCAACACGCATTTGAGGGGATGTGCAGAAATGACGTTGAGTTTCTTCTAACCTTAGATGTCCACAAACAGGTCCAGATACGGGCGTTAAGGAAACTCAAGGTTGCTAGTGGGACTTAGCCTCAGTGTGGTGTGGCGGGGGGTGGCACCTTCTGACAACATTTCAAAGTTTTTTTCATTTTTTTATTTTTTTGAAGAAATGCCCAGGTCTAGTCCAGATAAAACGGAAAAATATTGTACCATTGATGATGACAGATCAAACCAGAGAGTCTTTAAGGTAAGGCTGCAGGCCCACACACCACGGGAAAGTCGAGGGTGGGTGGGGCCGTTTCGCCAAAATTGGAGAACGAGAAAAACGACTCTCCTCCGGATCAGCTGATGGAACTGGAATGTGATGTTGGCCTGCAGATTCAGACAAGGACGTTCAGGGAATCCCACCAACGGTCATGCCGCACCTGCCACCTAACCCACCGAGCCAACTGGGCAACGCTACTGTCCCAGGGGACCAATCCCCAACCGTCACCATCCACCGTCCTCTCCAATGTTGACCTCACTGTCCGCAAATGCTCCATCATAGCGAACATGGATGTGAAACGTGTTTCGCAGGGGTAAATGAGACCCATTTGTATGCACTCCCCTCTGAAGATATGCAGAGCGGCGCCGTGCTCCTTGATGAAGCGCACCAGTGCTCTCCTCCACACAATGATAACCTTCGACCACGGGCTTGACAAGCCAGACATCCACTGCGCACGGAAACCACATGATCCGTCGAAGCTCTGGCCTTTGCTCCGGCCCCTGAAGCATGTTTGCCGGGGCGATGTACGCAGAGGAAGAGTCT